CTCCTTCTTTCATTAGTTTGAGGGAAAGGTGTAGGGGAAAAGTCTGAAGAAAAAAACCCTGTCACCACCATAACTCAAACCAGGGACTCTCGCTTATGGCCAGCGATGCTCACTAAGCTATGGCGTAGTCGTCATCCAAGCCACGACCGTTCAACCATTTCCCTCAGACTTCGAGACCCACGCTTCCTGTGTATGATCCAGACACCCTTCTTTCATTTTTTGTTATTGCGTATTGTTTCCACCGCGTGACGCTGAACAAATGAAGTACATGGATTCACGTGTCGATTCAGCTTGTTCTCTTGATTGAATAATACAATAATAATAATTATTGCTGTCTCCTCGCCGTCTGTTTACATATGGGAGATGTTCTGTATTTTGAAACTCAGAAGTTTTGACGGAAATTAAATGCGAGAGTTGAAATTCTGCTTTTTGATTGGTGTGTGATCTGCGGTCGTAGCTGAACACTTGCACTAGATCACCCCTCATTCCTCAAGGAATGTTTTGTTTTTTCACGGCTGAGCGTAGCGAAAGAGTGCAAAAAACGTATTTTCACTCACAAATATTTTCGTGCATTTGCTCTTGTTCTGCGCAACTCCGTTGAACCTGCTATCGTGGTCTTTGTTTTTCCTCGTGGTAGTTGAAGTTGCCCGCCCACCCACCCTGGTTTCATGGGAGTCGTCCGCTGTTCTTCTTGACAATCTATGCCTATGTGTGTGGCTTATGATTATGACATACACCGGTTATTACATACCATTTCTTGCTACCTCTATTCTTGGGTCCGACTGGCAGCGGGGCAGGAATTAATGAAATAGAAAGGTTTTTTGGCCGACGGGCGTGTTTTTCCTCTAGCCCGGTTGAGCGGTCGCGGCTAGGAATGTAGGGAGTCATTGTTTTTCAGGCGCTCCCCTGCTGCCCAGTCACCCATGCTCACCGGCACTGGCCATGCTGTTTCACTTGATTTCACGGCCTTTTCTCCCGCTTGTTGGCGGTTCTTTGATGGATTTAGATGTTTTTCGGCTATTTATCTATTATGTGGCTGCGAGTGTGGTTCTTTGCTTCTACTCATTTCTGGCCAGGCAGGCACAGTGGGTTGGTCAAAGACCATGATTGAGATACGAGAGGTACCTGGTTCAAGTCCTGCCTGGGAGCGGTTTTTCCAGCCGTGCTGCTACCCACAGTCAACTGGGAACTTGTGGCCAGGCACAAGGGGTACATGGATGCAGCTAATGGGGTCGTTTCCGGCACTTGTGCCAGTGGTTGTGAGACTTATCCACTCACCCCCACCGTTAGGCGCTGCATCTGCCGCTAGGATTTATCGGGTGTTAGCGGCCGTCGTGAGTTCCCTTCGGGAACGGACACGATAATTTACTTTACTTACTCATTTCTGGAAAACCACCACGGTGGTGAGTGTGATTGCTCTGGTAGACCACTACTGAACAGTTGCTTTGTGAGTGAAAAACGTGTATCTTTCACTTCTGTGACTTCTGCTTTTAATTGAATCTGCTCATATTCTGTCTAACACCAGCTCTGCCATCCAGGGAGCGGGTGCCATCTATCAATGATAATGATGGTGATGGCACATACCACAAGCGTGCTGTAGACCCTGCTGATCTACCAGGTCAGTATACTACAAGTAGCTTGCATCACCATGATATGAACCCCGCAATCTGCAACACACTGTACATGCAGAAATCTTGCTTATTCTACCCCCCCCCCCCCCCTCCTTCCCCACATGGGCATGGTCCCAAGGAAGTGTGGTACATATAATTATGTGGAATCAGATGGATTAGCGAAATTTAGTTAATCCGGAAACAAAAACTTTGTGACTTTTTATTATTCTAATGAGTTGCCGTGTTCAAGAAAGGAAATTTAGCTCAGTGGAACAAAAACACTTCAAGACAACGACTGGATACACTTCAGTGAAGGACGTCAACTGTCATACAAAAGAAATCGGGCTGCGTCAGGCGAAATTACTGGTCAGTCGGCGACACGCATTTTTCACAAAAATTTGCGTTTCACCTGCTGGGAGAGTATGCATGTACTCGAGTCTCATCCTGAGCACGTTTTTTTCTTCTTTTTTTCAGCTCCAGTATAGCTGTATTTTTCATTGCAAAGCCGTCCTCGATTGTTGTGTTCGTTGTTCAAACGAAGTGGACATTCAATCATGAAGGCAGAGGACATAGGAGCCTGATTGGAGTTTCTCGTTGCATAGGACGGCCACACAGAGACACTTTGGGATTTTCTGAATATAAAATACCGTACGCACGATGCTGAGATCAATTTGTGCGATATCAAATTGTTTGTGATCTACCACATCGAGCAGAACGGGATCCAAACACAAGCTTACCGACGGTTAGGCTGCCGACCTGACTGGACAAATGATCCCTGGCTTCACCAGACGCCAGAAGTCGGACACCATGTCCTTTGCCGCGACGTCCATCTCCAAAAAGAACTCCATCTTCGTCGTGAAAAGGCTTGAAATACTCAATATTCAACCGAG